TGAGACATGCATGGGAGCGCCTGGCCGTTTCGAGGACCCACTGATGCTTTCCTTCACCCTCTCTCTGTCCTTGCAGCTCCCTGCCGGAAGAGAAAAACAAAACAAGCTCTTCCTTCGAGACTGGTCCAAAGCCGAGTGAGAAGCCAGACATGGAGCAAGCTGAGCTGGACCAGGAGCAGAAGCGGAGCCGTGCCCGGGAGCGCCGGCGAGAAGGACGGTCCAAGACCTTTGACTGGGCTGAATTTCGCCCCATCCAGCAAGCCCTGGCACAGGAGCGTGCAAACGCTGCAGACTCCTCCAAGAGTGGCTCTACCGCCTTTCCCAGGGATGCCGGTGCCACCGACGCTGACTCAGGAGAGCTGGAGCGGGAGCGGGCCCGGCGGCGGGAGGAGCGGCGTAAGCGCTTCGAGATGATCGATACTGTGGACGGGGCAGGGTCAGAAGAGGCGCTAAGGATGGAGGTGGACCGGATCCTGCCTGTTCCGGCGGACATCAAACCGCAGAACGTCCATGTGGAGATCGAGCAGCGCTGGCACCAGGTGGAGACCACCCCGCTGCGGGAGGAGAAGCAGATCCCCATCGCGCCTCTGCACCTCACCCACACCGAGGACCGGGATGAGGGGCTGACAAAGCAGCATTTGACCACGCTGCTGGAGAAGGAGGTAAAGCGGGGTGCGTGGGGTGCAGGCTGCTTGCCAAAATGGCCTTCAGGCCACTGCAGGGACTGTAGGAAGCCTGAGCAAGGCTTAAAAAAGCTACATTTATTCCTACTTCATAATAGCAACAAGTGGGGATGCTGTAGGGTCCCCTGGGGAGCTGGCAGGGCACAGAGCCGTGTCCGTTACCGTACAATTCTGCCGGCAGCTTTCATGTTCCCACGGCTGCAGAAGGGGCTAGTCTTGCAAGGGTGGTATTTCGTTACCCCCTCCCATTTAACGCAGCCTACACTTTTGTTGGTTGTTAACCAGCCTGCCTCTGATAAGATGGGTACAATTGATGTTTATTAACCAGACTCTAAATTGAAGCTCATAATTCTGTGTGCCTGTGCAGCTGTAGAGATTTGTGTCTGCAATTATGTCTACAAAACTATAATCTAGCTTGAATTACAGCGCACACTACAAAGGTTCCCTTTTTGTGGAGCCTACATCAAGCAATCACAATTTCAGGAAAAGAAAGGTGGAGACTCGGCTCACTTGGAAGAGGTCCATGCCTGGGATAACAAAGGTTGTTGTTAGTTGGGATTAAGGTGTATTAGCAGGAATGAAAGGGGTGCAGGCATGGAGTAACCAGGAGTATTGCCAGTCCGAACCGGGCTGGGATTTGCCTGGGTCATGCCTGGCACGAGCTGGTGCCGTTCATCCTTCACCGCAGTGAGCTTTACGAATTAAACTAATGCGTAACTTAGTTCTTTCAGGGGGGAGGGATTTTGCCTGGCAAAATGAAATCCAGATCCCAGAGCAGAGCAAAGCAGCGGTGCCATCAAAAGCCCCGTTCATTCTGCTCTATGTCCCCTCCGAGGCGCTTGCTCCTTATGGCTGACCCCCTGCCCACTCCCGGGATGCTGTCTCTGTTCGTGTCTCTCCAGCTGGAGCAGAAGCAGAAGGAGGCCTTGGAGCTCCTGGAGCAGAACCGGCACCTGCAGGACCAGCTGAAAGTGGCACTGGGCCGGGAGCAGAGCGCCCGTGAGGGCTACGTGTTGCAGGTAGGAGCGTGGGGAGGAGAGAGAAATCCGTTTTACTCTGTGCCCGAGGGGGACCCTGGTGGGCTTCAGTCCAGGGTGTTTGTGTGTCAACATCCTGGTTGACGCAGGGATGTGCACCACTGAGGATGCTCCAAGAGATTTGACCTTATTGCAAATATTGCTAATTCTGTAGCCTTACAGGATCATCTGCTTGACAAAACCTCTCCAACCCCTACTATTCTGTGATTCTGTGATTCTGGGATGCAGTAGACAGAAGATAGCATTACCTACAGGTGTCCCCAAGGGAAAACAAAACACAGCCATGGTAGGCAGATGGAACCTCAGCGAAGTCCAGCTCTGATCCATTCCACGCTGTGTTTGCCTATGCAACAGCTGTTTCCCCCTTTCTGTGCCTCAGGTATTCCCCTCCGGCAGCGGGGTGCACACAAGGCTTTCTAAGCACCTTGTAGCCCAGCAGTTGCTCCTGGCCAGAGAGTCTGTGTGGTGGTTGCATGGGCAAACACAGCACACGCAGGTGTATCATCTCGCGGGCCCGCTCCCCACAGCCAGAGTGGGATTTGCACCGGGACGACCTGTTGTCTTGAATCACTTTGGTGGTTTCTTCTGTTACAAGATGCCTTTCCTCAGCAAAGCCTAAAAGTGTTTTGGAGGTTCTGGCAAAAAAGACGGGAGAGTCTCTTGGGAAGCCTTTCTTTCCCTCCTCCAAACAAAGTGGACTTTTTCCAGCCCTTCCTCTGGGAGCGTCCATGCCTAGAGGAGCTGTGATGCCTGCAGGGCAGCTTCTGCCTGCTCTCATGGGTCCGTAGTCCTGTTTTGTGCAGGGGAAGCATTTTCACCTACTCAAATCTACTTGGCCAAACTGGCTCTGGATTGAAGTGGCCGTGTGTGGGCCGCACGCTGCTCTCCCGTGGCAGCAAACCCGGTGTTGACGCTGAACCTTGCGTCCTTATTTCTCACAGAAGAAATTTCCCCTGAAGAAGTTGCACAGGCAGTGGAGCTAGCGCAGGCAGGGGGGCATCTTGCCTTCCTTGCTGGTGATCTCCTTGGAGGAGTTATTCATGCATTTGTTTCTGGACTCCCTGAGCTGACAGTGCTTGCTTGGAGGAGTTCCATTTTCACTTGGCAGTGTTGGAAGAGTAACTAACTCCCATTTCCCAGGGGCAAAGGCATCCAACCTCCCTTTGCCTGGAGCCCAGAAAAATCAGCGAATGGGGCTAAAAGCTGGATGCTGAATCCACTGTCAGATTGGCCGTGTTGAGGTTGGCCATAGCGCCTCGATACAAGGAAGGGGGGGGGCAAGAGGTGAAGTCTGCAGAAGGGCTGAGCAAATCATCACTGCAGTAAGAAATGACCCAAACTTTGACCTAGAAGTTGGAGAGGGTTTTTGGAAGGGTTGGAGGACTTTGCTTGGATTAAAGTCCTGCGGCAGAAGGGAGTAACCCCCTCAAACCCTGCTGGGGTGAAGGGAGTGAAATCACTGGGGGGCCGGTTCTGCAGCCCCAGCCTGCGGGCAAACGTCACAGCCTTTTTTTGGACGGACTATCTGAATTTCATGTGCCCCCCGCTTCCATCACGCCTAATTTTGCAGAGGTTCCTGCATTGTCTGTGGGGAGGGATGATGGAGGAGCCTGACTGCTGCCACCCATCCCTGCTGAGCTGCCTGGGGGGGCACCAACCCCTCCTTGGCAGCATGACCAGCCCCATATGGACCCCCAAGCACTGTCCTGGTACATGACGCTGCACATTTCATAAGGCAGCTGCTGAGATACGCCCCCCGATGCATGTGCCGTGCACCGAAGCCTCTCCGGCTCGTGTAACCCCTCTCTCGCTCTGAGCTTCCTCGGGACAGGGCATCCCAACTTTGAACCCTACTGGGAAAAACAGCGGGGGCTCCTGCTCCTTGCAAACAGACCAGAGATGTCCCCCGGCTCTGGTTGCGGCGGGTGGGAGGGGTCACGTACTAACCTGTCCCGGGCGGATGTTCTTGCATGTTTTTGGTGTAAAGCATGAAATTTAACTTAACATAACTGAGTGTCACATCTGTGGGCTTTCCTTATCAGCAACCAGAGTACAGCAAGGCAGGCCAAATTCCTAGGCTTAACGCTGTGCTTCTCTCGCCTCTTCCTGTCTGTGTATTTTTTTTAAAGATACATAATTTCTGTTGCCTTTTGCATGACTCTCTCTGTGAGTTTTCTCTTTGCATGCTACATTGCTTTGGTTTGAACCTCACAAAGGTTGGTTTCTTTTATTTTACATCCTCATCACACCTTTTCCCTCCCTTCACTTGTCGGGCTTTTTATTTTGTCCTTTGTTTCTTTATTTTGCAGGTTAGAGAAATTAGATCCTCCCTAGCCTTAAACTTTAGCATAACAACATCTCTTTAATGCGATGAGCAGCCACTAAGTCCTGTTTGGCAGTCACAGAAATGACATCGCCACGCCGGCTGTCCTGTCTCCCTGCGTTTGGGTGGGATGTGATGTCATTTGCTGTCACCTCATTTTCTGTTGTTGCTTTTGGTCGGTAGGACTGTGTTACCTGAACTGTGCACTTTTTGTTTCACAACAAAACAACAAACATGCTAAAAACGCAGTTCCTTTCTTGTCAACCTGTTCCCATCCCCTCCTCCTTCTCACCCTTCCCATTTTTTCACTTGTTTGTCTGTCTCTGTTTTACTGCTGGTGTTTCTTTTTCATTGTTTTTTGGTTCTGTTTGATTTTGGGTTTTGGTTTTTTTTCCTTTTAGCCTGTTACTGTACAGCTGTTTCGATGTTGTGGTTCGTGTTTTCTGTTACTGGAAAGCAGTTGTCGCTCATTCAAAAAAGAAAAAAAAAAAGTTGGTTAAAACAAACAAAAAAATTGTGCCAAGAGCAAATCATCCCAATTGGAGCATGTGGGTAGCAGCCAAATAGCTGCGACGAGCTTTTCCGTGGCCTGCCTGGCCAGAGGTGTGACACTCAGAAGGGAGAGCCAAGAGTGTTACTAATCTAGTATTTAATCAATTTTTTTAAGACCGAGGTGGCCGCCTCGCCATCAGGTGCCTGGCAGAGGCTCCACAAAGTCAACCAAGACCTCCAAAGCGAGCTGGAAGCCCAATGCCAGCGTCAAGAGCTGATCAATCAACAGATTCAGTCGCTGAAGCGCAGCTACGCCGAGGCCAAGGACGTGATTCGGCACCACGAAGCTGAGATTCAGAGCCTGCAGGCGAGGCTCAGTAATGCAGCAGCTGAGCTCTCCATCAAGGAGCAGACCCTGGCCAAGCTCAAGAGCGACCTGAGGAGCGAAAAAGAGAAAGCCAAAGAGCAGCTGGAGGAGTGGCAGCACGGCGAGGCTGCGCTCAGCTCCCAGCTGAAGGCCAGCGAGCAGAAGCTGAAGAGCGCAGAGGCTCTGCTCCTGGAGAAGACCCAGGAGCTGCGGGACCTGGAGATGCAGCAGGCTTTGCAGAGGGACCATCAGAAGGAGGTGCAGCGGCTCCAAGACAGGATTGCAGACCTGAGCAGGCAGCTGAACGCTAGCGAGCAAGCACGGATCCTCATGGAGGAGAAGCTGCAGAAGAATTACGAGGCTTTGCTGGAGAGCTGCGAGAGGGAAAAGCAGGTTTTAATACGGAGTTTGAAGGAGGTAGAGGATAAGGCCAATGAGTATGAGAACCAGCTGCAAAATAACGAGCAGCAAATGGAGATTCTGCAGAAGGAGAAGCTGAGTGCAAAGTTCGAAGGCAGCGAGCTTGTCCACCAGCTGGAGGAGCAGCTGGTGATGAAGGAGGCCAGCATCCAGAAACTCGCAGAGCACATCAAGGAACTCGAAAGAGAGAGAGATCAGCTCAAATGTCGTTTCCACGAGCTCATGAATCAGGTTGCCGAGTCAGATAACGAAGTTGCAAAGCTGCAAGCAAAGCTGAAAATGGAAGAAACCAACTACCACAATCTGGAGCAATCGTTCGAGGAGGTGTCAGATCAGTTCCAGGGTGTGCAGAAGGTGCTGAAAGAAAAAGAAGAAGAGCTGAGACATGTTAAGGAAATGCACTTGAGAATTGTGGAGAAGAAAGATCAAGATCTCAGTGAGGCTTTGGTTAAAATGGTTGCTTTAGATAGCAGTTTAGAGGAGACTAAAGTAAAGCTAAAGGCCAAGGAGGAGGCTTTAAAGAAATTAGCTAGTGTAGGCACAGGTCCAAGCACTGAGGAGGTGGAAGACCTTGGCCCTAATCTCGAGGCTGATGAAAGTCACCCATCCCAACTGGGGCAGCCTCTGCAAACTCAGGATATCCTCCCAGCTCTGACTTATGCACTGAAGGAGGAGGAGGAGGTTCTTGAGACCAACCAGAGGCAAGCAGAGGAATTTGGCTCCCCATCCACAGCTGTAGAACTCCAGGACCAAGAGTTAGTTCAGAAAGCCTTAGCAAAGCCTGAGGTAGGAATCATGGGGGCCAAGAGGCAAAGAATCCGTTTCTCGAGCATCCAGTGCCAAAAATACATCCATCCAGATGGATCGGAGAAAAACTGGACAAGCAGTACCTCTTCAGACACGAGCCAAGACAGATCGCTGTCTGAAGAAAGCATGTCATCAGAGCCAGCTCTTGGTTACCCATCATCAGGGACAAGCGACTCTGAGACCTACCTCTCAATCATCCATTCCCTGGAAACCAAACTTTATATTACAGAGGAAAAACTCAAAGATGTAACGATGAAGCTTGAAAGCCAGCACGGCCATAATCAGGAGACGCTCATTGCCCTCCACCATCAGTGGGCCAGCACAGAGTCTCAGCTGCGGGAACAACTTCAGACCAGCTTATCCCAAGTCAGTGCTTTGATCTCACAGCTGGAGAGTGAGAGGCAGGAAAAGTTCAAGCTCATAGAAAATCATGTTAGTGAGCTGGGAGGTTTCCAAATGAAAAATGATCAAGCGCTGACTTGCTTAGAGAAGTGCAGGGAGCAACTAAGATCTTTGCCCAAATCAGACAAGGAAAAAGAGGGTGATTTGTTCCTTGTTACTCTGTCCAGCATGGAAACAACCTTATCAAACGCAATCCAAGCCTTGAGAGGGGCGCCAGTCCCGTCGGAGTATCAGCGGAGTGAAAGCCTTATCGTGGAAAGCCCCACTCCAGAAGAAGGGTTTTTGGGAGAAGAAGAGCATGTCTCCAAGGAGCAGCGAGTTGAAATGTTTGATGCTGGCCAGCTGAGATGGCTTTCTGAGAGAGTGGCATTTGAGGCCTCTCTCATCAGCCAAATAGCAGAGTCTTTGAAAAATGCAAGCTCTGAGATATCTCAGCTTCTGAGAGAGATCCAGGGAACAGCCGAGGCGGTTTTGTTGGAGCCAGCAAATATTTCTCATACAGCAGTTGACTTGGCCAGCATCCTATCTAAGAAGCTGCTGCTGGAAGGGGAGTTCTGGAGCCAGGTGGAGGAGCTCAGAGTGCACTTGAGCACCAGAGAAGGAGAAGCCGAGGGCAAAACAGAAACAACAGGCTTGGGCTTTTCTCCATGTTTTCTCAGTGCTGTAGCAGATGCTACCTTGATTAAGGCAGAACTTGGGTTTGTCGCACAGAAAATGAGAGAATCTTTTCATCAGAGATTAAAAACAATTGAAGAAGACCTTCATAATACCAAAACAGCTCTCCAGCAGCACAAATGCATGTTGGAGGAGATCATCAAAGCGTACAGGACTCCTGATTTTGACAGAGTTATGCACCAGATTTCTGAAGCACTTGAAATTCAAAAAGATGCTTCAGAAAGAACCCAGATCTCCTGGGACGGGAGCCATCTCCAAATGGTGCCGTGTCAGGAATTAGCCAAGGTGGAGGAGATTGGCAGCCTGCCGGACCGTAGTAGTGAAGCTCTTGTTTCCATTCAGGAGGATCTTGCCCAACAACTAAAGGACAAATCAAATGTTCTGAAGGAAATATCTGTTGCCTTACTCTCTCTGCCTCCTGAGGAGGCAATGAGAGACTGTCAGAAGCTCCTGAAGATATCTCAGAGTCTTTCATATCATTCGTGCATGGGAGACCTTGAACAGTATTCTTCTTTGTTAGTCCAAGATGCAATTGTTCAGGCTCAGGTTTGTTATGCCGCTTGCAAAGTCCGACTGGAGTACGAGAGAGAGCTGAAGTCCTACAAGGAGTCCTTGCAGAGCATGGACGCGCTCTGCCAAGAGCGTGTGAAGACAGTCTCTCTCCTTCGGGATGAGTACGAAGACTTGCTTAGAAAGCAGCAGGGTGAGTATGGCGAGGTGATCGCCATGCTTGAACGGGAGAATGCCGATCTCAAAGCAAAGGTGTCCCAGCTTGACAGTCAGCGAAGGGTCTTGGAGGAAGAGGAACATAAACACAGCAAGAGCTTGAGCGAATTGCAGGGACGGTATGAGGAGGAGATTCGAAACGTGATAGAGCAACTAAACAGGACAGAGGATGCTCTGAAGGCCGAGAGGACGGAGGGCCTCAACCAGCTGGATGCCATCGTCCGCGACAAGCAGAACATGGAGCGGTATCACCTAGAGCAGATGCAAATGCTGGAGGACAAGTTCCAGGCCAAGATCAAGGAGCTGCAGGTCATCCACAGTGAGGAGCTGCAGGCGCTGCAGGAGCACTACAGCCAGAACCTGCAGCGCCTGCAGGAGACCCTCGATGAGTACCAGAGGCAGCACCCGGAGGCGTCCCCCGCGGCAGGCCCGGGCGGTGGGGATACCTGGGTGGGCAGTGAGGTGGGTGACACTGGGCAGGGCCCCAGCAGCGACCTGGACTCCATGCACGGCCTGAGGGAGCGCATCCAGGAGCTGGAGGCCCAGATGAACGTCATGAGGGATGAGCTGGAGAACAAGCATCTGGAGGGGAATGCTTCCACCTTGAGAGAAAAATACCAGAAAGACTTTGAAAACTTAAAGGTCTTGATACGTTTAACGCTTTACACTTTCCACTGCTGAGTGTACAGGAGGGTGTGTTCAGTCCTGGGGTTCGCTTGCCGAACCAAGGGGTGTCCCCCGAAAGAGCCAGCACACTGAAGCAAGCCCCAAAGTGTTAGAAAGGCCTCCGTAAAGCATGGCATTTCCCTTTTCTCCATGCTGGGGTATTCTAAATGCATTGCTGAGGGCTCGGTCTCAGTGGGAGGGTTGGTTATTGGAGGCGGTCTCTGCCTGTAGAGGGAGGGAGGGTTTCCAAGTAGCTTGGTAACTTCACGTTATCCTTCAATATGAAGACTGCAGTGTTTCTTCTCATACCTGAGGCATATGTTTTGTTTGTGACTCCCCTTTAAAAGCATTCCTCAACTCTGTCTTTCCCTGATCAAATCTCCAGTCTGATCAAATCTCCAGTCTGTCTCTGCTGCCCTCAGAAATGTAAGATGAAATGGAAACTTAATGCTCTCAAAATATATGTTCCTGGGAAAAGTAACTGTAAATCGATGCCAAATTCTGTAGCAAAGCACAGCTCCTCTGCAAGGCTGCAGGAGAACCACCCTGGTGTTGCACACCAGCGATTCTTTACACAACAAACAGTGCACAGTTACGGGAAACCCAGGGTAGGTGCAGAAAAAACCAGTGGCAATGAAGTGCCTGCTCCACTGGTCAGAACTGGCTGTAAAACTAGCCTGAGGTGGTACAGCATCTAAAAAAAACCTCTTGGGTTTGGTGTTTTGCATTTGATCAGAGAGCATTTCCAGTTAGGAAGTGGGTTTAGGGCAGTAGAGGACTCCGGCGGCACCCAAGGAGGCTTCCACGTTGAAGGGGCAGGCAGAAGGTCAGTGGCGGAGGCTGGACACAGAGGCCATGCTTTCGTGGAGCAGTCATTCTTCAGAGTCAGCAAAAATGAGGGAGAGCTTGCTTCCAGCTGCGAGGTCATCAGCACACGTTTGGGCTGGGGGTAAAGCATGGCTCAACTCTAGCCAAAAGCTGGTTTTAGCCTGGGGAGAGCAGTAGTTCTGCTGCGTCCCATCAGGGGTGAGTCAGGTGTCCAGGGGAGGGAGAGCTGCTGGAGAGATGGGAAGGAAGCGATGGTGTTCACTGAACGCTATCTCCTCCATCTTAACCTTTAGGAAGGAAAAATCCTTCTTGAATTCCCTGCTCAGGTCAGCGGGACACACAGGTAACGCCTTGTCCTGTGAGCCAGGCACCAAACAAGGACACTTGTACCGGGGGATGCTCTTGCTTTGGAAGAAGCAAAAAGGCCAGAACCAAAATAGAGGCTGAAAAATAACAGCAAGCAATGAACCTGACCTCCCGCCTCTGTTTTCAGCTTTGCTCTGCCAAACTTGCAGTTTGCCTGACGGGAAGGCAAGCAGCACCTTCTGGGCAGAGCAGTCCAGGAGGAGAGCAGAGCAAACCAGCCTGTCTGCACACGTCTGTAGGAAGCAGAGGGACAGACAGCAAAATAGAAACTTCCCTTGGTTAGAAAGTTAACTGGGTGATTGCAAACCTGTCAGATTTTCAGGTTAAAATGTGTTTGATTCTTCTCTTCTGAAGCTGATGGAGAGTGTAACATCAGTTACAGGAGATACTGGTTTGTACATGTTCAAATGTCTTGGGTTTATAGCAATGCATTTACAATACATTAAATACTGAATCCACAGCCAGACCTATGGAGGAACATTCACCATTTTCATGATGAATGCATTAGAGGTGTAACGAAGAATCCTGCAAGGCTGCTTTGTGCTTCTCCGTAGTCAGCCAAGTTCAGACAGGTTCTGGCGCTGAGTTATGAGTTTCAAAACAAACAAAGGCTGCAAAAATGCAGGATTTAAACTTAAAGGGGAGGAGTAAAAGCACCAGAGCTGAAAATTGGGAATGAGAGTGAGACGGGTTACAGAGCATTAGACAATGAAGTGATGCTGAAGAGTGTATGTTAGTGTAGGTCAGCGGGTGTTAGACTGTCATGAGCAGTTTTGTCACCGTGGGAGTGAATTTGTCCCCCTTCATTTTCCCATGGAGTCCCACTGGCTCCCTAGGTGGCAGTTCTCACTTCCCGTGGAAAGCATGAGTGTGAATGAAGAAGAAATCCATTGAAATCGGGAAATAAAGCCAGCCTTTAACGTTAAGAGGGAGGAAAGCCCGGTGTAGTGCTTGGCATCAGGGTTGTCCCCAAATGTCTGGTGGGGCTCGTGCGCTGCGTCCCCGGTGCCTGCCCCTTCCCAGCTTGTGGCTTGAGCCTGCCTGTGGCTTTGCTGTCCTGGTTCTGTCCTGCAGCCTTGTGTCTGTCCAGGATCCCGCTGGAGGCAGGAGCGGGGTCTGTGCCTGGGGCAGGACCCGGCTGGTGACTCCTGAAGTCCCAGAGCGCTGCCCTCATGTCCCTGCCTAAGCTCACTCCTGGTAATTCAATTGGCAAATAACTGCCCATGCAGCATTTGAAGCAATACTTGGTTGGGAATTAAGGTCCTTTTGCTGTCATGAGTCATTTGTTTTCCACCCCAATGGTGGCCACATAAAATCAGGCATTGCGGAAGAGAGCAGAAGGGTCTCAGTAGGCTTTTGTTGTTGTTGTTAACATATATTTGCATTCCCCAATCAGGCCTGACCCCTGAGCTACCCTGTCCTTCCCTTTCACCAGAGCTGTCAGGGGTCAAGCTTGACAGGACAAGCTCTGACCTCACGAGGTCTGTCCTCGGCTGGCTCCTCCATGGTCAGGGAGGGAGAAGATCCTCATGATGGAACTTTGGTGCTGACCTACCCGCTGGTGTGTGGCTCCTGGTGGGCTCACCACCGCTGTGACACCGGCCCTGTGCTCCTGGGCCAACCCCTTCCCCTCATCCCTTTTGCAGGCAACATGTGAAAGGGGCTTTGCAGCCATGGAGGAGACGCACCAGAAGAAGATCGAGGACCTGCAGCGGCAGGACCAGCGGG